CTGTAGTTAGTACTTATTTTTATTTCGTTTACTTCACTGGCAAGTGTTTTTGAAGTATCTATAATTAGATAATTAATTACTCTATCTATACCCAATTAAGTTTGCTGTGTGTATCATTGAGATGGCAACATTCTGGCACATTTGTTGCTACAAAGTTATTTCTTCCAGACAATTACCTAGACACTGGGAATCAGCTATAATAAAGATGCTCTTTTCAGGAAACTCTCTTTCTCCCTTTTTGGCTTTTGTGCCAAGGCCAGCAGTGGGACAGTATAGATAGGCTAAATTAAAAAAAGTTCACACTTCAGTTAATGTTTATCTCAAGTAGTTCTAATGCGGTAGGGCGTTAAACAGTCTAATTTCGTAATGACCACCGTGGGGTCCCGTAATTCGGAGTCTGGACCCCCGTAGTGCGGGTTCCGTTCCCAGCTCGAGCGCGTTCCGGTCCACTACTCCTCCAATCTATTCGTCAGAGCAGTCAACAAAGATTGAAGTTAAAAGACAGTTATTTGGTCGTGTTCCGTATATTTTTCTTTTTGTTACTTTTTGGTACACCGTATAACATCCTTACTGCTGAACTAATTTATGTCGAAATGTGACATTTATTATTATACAGTCGACAGTACATCAGACTACATTGTTGCAAAAAAAAACATAGATTACAAAGTACCAATAGTACATAGATTTTCGTTCAAACCTTTTCAAAATTATAATATTCTTAATGCGAATTCAAGGACCATTCTCTAATACTGTAATTTTAATGGAATTTTATGATTTGGACGGACACCAGTCAGTGTTAGGAAAGTTTGTTATATTTAAACAATATTGTATAGTTGTTGAATTCACGAAGGCGAGTGGGCTTTAAATGTGTGGAGGCTCGCTACTGTGTAGCGTTTTTTAAAAGTTTTGATAGGCATTCTTCTTCTTCTTCTTCCTCGTTCCCTCACTGATGAGGATCGCGACCACAGATAGTGTTCCTCCACAGACTGCGGTCACAAGCTAGGCATTACACTATCGTTATGTGTGTACACACACTAAAACCTGTGCTAAAACTCAATCGCCTTCGTGAGTTGCAAAAACTACATAACTGCTTTTTCCAGCCCAAAGGAACCCTACAGTTATATGCAAACATTTTAATCTCCCGGCACTGTACAGCTCGAGACGAATCATTGTCACGAAGATTGTTCCAGCCAACAATACTGTGCGCAGGAGTGCACCAAAACGGACTAAGCGGGAGGTTCCCATAAAATGCATTTGGATGCACAACTGCGTAATTGGTACAGAAATATTCACCTTGAGGAAATAAAGTTATTACGAGTAACTGACTTATAGGCTTAGCGCTTAACGCAGTAGATCTATTCCACAGAATAATAATAAGTACTCGTACTACGTACAGAAGTTTTACTTCGCGAAGGTATTTAAAAAAATGTATGCTCAATGTCATTAACAATATGGTGTAATTTAGCCTGTCTCAAGAGTCAAGCACCATTTTGTTGACAAACGTCAGTGATCGGCACTGCGCCGAAGCTATAGGGCTGACTTCGGTAAAATGATGTGACGTGAGGTGCCAAACTGCGGAAAATGGCGGAGGAAATACATGATTTAGCATGAATTATCATGAATAATATTAACTACTTATTTACCTCTCAGGCAGGAGGAGGCAACTTAAAAAAGTACATTCTGTGTTTTTATTATTATTTAGACAGTTAAATACTGCACAGTATTTACTACTATTTTCTTTATTTTCTTCCATCATACACAAGGATACGCGCGCGTGAGTCAATGTTCGCTCGTATGTGAGGCCTTGTCGAATAGTATCCTGTAGGTGGGTCATCGTGCGTGTTTTGTTTTCGATGTAAACTCGCGGAGATGAACAGGCCTGCTAATACCAACATCTACTTAATACCAATGGTATTTGTTTTAAGTCTTTATTATTTTCTATTCCGAACGAATACCACTTTTTAAACGAATACCATAACAAGTTTGTAGGTACAGTCCATAAAAAAAAATTTAGTTGTGAAAATAAATTGAGTTTATTTAATACTAGCTTTTGCCCGCGGTTTCACCCGCGTGAAAGTTAGTATGTCACAGATCGTCATAAATTATAGTCTATATGTTAATCTGGGTTATAAACAGTAATACTGTAAAGTTTCAATAAAATCCGTTCAGCAGTTTTTGCGTGAAAGAGTAACAAACATCCAGACATCCAAACATCCAGACATCATGACATCCAAACTTTCGCATTTATAATATTAGTAGGAAAATCAGTTTAACCAAACTTTAAATAAAGACAAATAAAATCATTTTTCTGACTGTACCAAGATTCATGTTTTGGGATTAGTTCGGAGCACTTAGATCTTACATTTATTAAAATTAATTTAAAGAGTGGTATCCGATCGGAATAGAAAATAAAAAAGTATAAAAACAAATACCATTGGTATTAGATGATGGTATTGGATCGGAATAGATCACGCAGTCCGTGCCTGTGTTATGGAAGCGGCACGGGAGGGGTAACATTAATATACACTCGGCATCAAATAAATCGCACCTCCCGCGACAAGTACTTATCAAACGTATGCATCCCCACTTCCCATCAACGTTGGTACCATTTGAAAGCCTAGTTCTAAACTTCATTTCATTAAAACGCAACAATTAACCTAGAAATTAGCACGGCACTAAAGAAATTTATTCAAAACTGCCACGCGGTCTCGTGCTAGATGGGCGTCTTAAAGGCCACCTTCTATCAACGGGAGCGCGTGGTAAGTAACTTGCTTCTGAATGTATGTAACTTCCTACTTTTTTATTTTTAAACCGGCAGACAGTGGTGACTGAGTTTGTTGCGGCGCTTCTTCTCAGCACTTGCCAAATGTTTGTCTCGAAGCGCTGGTAGGGCAAAAAAAGAATGAGACATGTATAGGCTCCTTAAGAGCATTTGACGATTTGCAAGAACTAATTTAATTAGTCTAAACAAATAAAGATAATTTTTTGATTTTGATTTTTAAAGGAAAGGTTTTTACCCCAAAAATGTGTCTTTACAAGGATCCAGAGTCACTTCTTCAAAAAATAGGTAGTTACGTACGCTATAGCCATTTTTTATGACTATAAAACTGTTAAGTTGGGATTAATCGCTATCCATCTGTTAAAGAGGACACGTGAGATCTTTATTTGGTTTTATAACCATAAAAATGGGTCTAATTGATCCCACAGGTNTCAGACATACTACATTGGACAGCGTATTGCTCAGAGAAAGTATTTGTGTCTCTTTTCCACTCTTAATAACGTACATATGCTTGTTTATTTTTATTTTAGCCAAGGTGGCCAATAACTATGTACAGGCCAATTACTATAGCAATCACCCTACTTCAACTGCTCCTCGCCGTCGGTGGAGCGCTGCGGCGTGCCCTTCTTACTATTATCCTATTGCTTGTCCCAACCGACAACAGAACTAAAATCTCTTCCTCCTCAAGCAGCGGCAGTGGGAGATCACTTAAGGGCCTTATTTCAATAGGGAAAAGGAATAAAATCCGAAAGATTTTTTTTCTAATTGACAAGGCCTATTATACTGTACAAGACTTCTTGAGTGACAAAATTTGACTAATTTAAATATAATTTTACTTTTATTATCAATTATTGTTATTATGAATTTTAATGTATTATTGACATTCTTACTTGACATATCATTGACATGCCAATATCTTGGTAAAACATGTTGTATTACCTGTTAAAACTGTAAGACCAAATCATGTTGCTCTGTAATATGTTTTCACACATGTTTATGTAAATAAATATCTTTATCTTTACCTTTATCTTTAAAGATCGTTCGCACACTCACTGCGACCGCCCGTCGCACAGTCGCGACAGCAATATAATTATACGCGAGCGACAAGGATGGGTAGTTTGGAGTCATTGGACGAAATTCTATCTGCTCGGCGACCGGACTTTACCAAACGATCTTCTTTTCCCCTGTTTTAACCTGTGTATGTTTGTTCCCATTTCCAGCTAGGTACATGGACTGGTCCAAGAATGAGTACTTCAACTGCTCGTCTCCCTCGGTGGAGCGCTGCGGCGTGCCCTTCTCACTGTTATCCCATTGCTTGTCCCAACTTTCATAATATTATTTACAACAGGACTATTACTACAAGCTTGCAAGCAAGGGGATTGGAACTATATTACTTTAAAGCCCTATAGACGACGCCATGGTGGCGCCACTGGTCCCGCCACATGGTGTCTTGAGCTATCTAATATTCCAAATATGTAGATACATACAGGGACCCCATATGAACAGCTTGAAGCAGCTAGCAAAGTACAGTATTCTATTCTACGTACACAATCCACGGAACCGCTCGAGCAAGTAACTGCTTCGGGCAGTAGTGACTTTGTAGGAATCGTCTGCAAGAGCCGCATGTTGTATGTTGATCACCTCTTGGCGGGCCCTCCATACTATTAGAGGGCGGTAGATCTATTCTATTAAATAAAACGCTGAATACTCAACTTTCACATTATATTGCCTCATTTTAAATACATTTCGTCACTTAGCACAAAAGCGCGCGGAGTCGTCTCCGCGCGTCCCGCTATTCTGACGTTTGATTCTCGTGTGACATTGACATTACGTCAATGTCACTATGACAGCAGCTCATTGGCTATAGATGACCCACACTGAACTGTCCCACCAAACTCAATGTCAAGGGGGCGCTACCATCGTTCAACTAAATGGTTTCCAACATGGCAAAAATCGGAACAAGCGATCCGGTATTGACGGTGGCGCCCCATTGTCAATGTCATGGATAGGACAGTTCAGTATTTTGGAACTATATAACGATTATATTTTAACGTTTTACATATTTCACAATTAACAATACTGTATGTTCGCCGCGCAGCGCGGACACGCGGCGTGTTCACTGCGTCGCAGCTTCGCTTTGAAAGCGTTTGCAATCCGCCAGTGTGGCAGCTCACTTAATGTTTTGTTTTAACACCTATTACATGTCCGTTTCCAGTTCCACTGCTGCGGTTTAACCTCAGACGGGTACATGGACTGGTCCAAGAACGAGTACTTCAACTGCTCGTCGCCGTCGGTGGAGCGCTGCGGCGTGCCCTTCTTACTATTATCCTATTGCTTGTTCCAACCGACAACAGAACTAAAATCTCTTTCTCCTCAAGCAGCGGCAGTGGGAGATCACTTCAGGGCCTTATTTCAATAAGCAAAAGGGATAAAATCCGAAAGATCGTTCGCACACTCACTGCGACCGCCCGTCGCACAGTCGCGACAGCAATATAATTATACGCGAGCGACAAGGATGGGTAGTTTGGGGTCATTGAACGAAATTCTATCCGCTCGGCGACCGGACTTTACCAAACGAACTTCTTTTCCCCTGTTTTAACCTGTGTATGTTTGTTTCCATTTCCAGCTAGGTACATGGACTGGTCGAAGGATGAGTACTTCAACTGCTCGTCTCCCTCGGTGGAGCGCTGCGGCGTGCCCTTCTTACTATTATCCTATTGCTTGTTCCAACCAACAACAGAATTAAAATCTCTTTCTCCTCAAGCAGCAGCAGTGGGAGCACTTCAGGGCTCTAGATAGGGCTCATTCCCTAGATAGCATTCTATATCCCTAAATAGGACACTGTCATGACACCAAATTTTCCATAAATAAAGCTACATTTTCGGTCGCCAGCAGTTCGAGCAGTTGTGACTGCTTCGAATGTCAACTGTCGAGATGATACTAAGTGGGTGTGACCTCTTTGACAACTTTTTTTTCTCTTGTCTCTCCATTGTTTGTTTTGTATTAGTCGTCAAATAAATATTTTTTCTTTCTTTCTTCGGGCAGTTGGTAGCACGTTGAAATTTCATCGTGACTGACTGCAAAAGTGGTCCGTGTATGTTGCTTGCTATCACTGGCTTGCAGGCCTAAGCTGAAATCTGGTGGTACCTTCCATACTGTATATGTTTTGTTGATGGCGCGACTGGTGGCGCCACTATGGTGGTAACGATCTTTCGGATTTTATCCCTTTTCCTGTGACTAGACTGTGCGACGGGCGGTCGCAGTGGTGCGAGCGCGACAGCAATATAATTACGTGCGATTGATAAGGATGGGTAGTTTGGGGTCATTGGACGAAATTCTATCTGCTCGGCGACCGGACTTTACCAAACGACCTTCTTTTCCCCTTCTTCTTTTCGTGTCGACAACAAACCTACACAGTGTCAGCCCAAAACTCCGCCACAAGAGTGGCGTTGTCAGTAGCACTCATCAAATCCTCCTGAGTGCAGTTGCTTGGGCACTCAGGGCATGACATCAGATGCTCCATCGACTGTTTTCTTTTCCCTTGTTTTAACGTGTATTTGTTTGTTCCCGTTTCCAGTTCCACTGCTGCGGTCTAACCTCAGACGGGTACATGGACTGGTCAAAGAACGAGTACTTCAACTGTTCATCTTCTTACTATTATCCTATTGCTTGTTCCAACCGACAACAGAACTAAAATCTCTTTCTCCTCAAGCAGCGGCAGTGGGAGATCACTTTAGGGCCTTATTTCAATAAGCAAAAGGGATAAAATCTGAAAGATCGTTCGCACACTCACTGCGACCGCCCGTCGTACAGTCGCGACAGCAATGATTATCTCTAAATTGGACACTGTCTTGAGCTACCTAATATTTCACAAATGAAGCTACATTTTTGGTAGTTGCAGCAACCGCTCGAGCAGTTGTGACTGCTTCATTGCAGCAGTTGTGAAACATCGTGACTAAATGACTGCAAGAGTGATCCGTGCATGTTGATCACTGGCTTGCGGACCTAAGCTGAAATCTGGTGGTACCTTCCATACTGTATATGTTTTGATGGCGCGACTGGTGGCGCCACTATGGTGGTAACGATCTTTCGGATTTTATCCCTTTTCCTGTGACTAGACTGTGCGACGGGCGGTCGCAGTGGTGCGAGCGCGACAGCAATATAATTGCGTGCGATTGATAAGGATGGATAGTTTGGGGTCATTGGACGAAATTCTATCCGCTCGGCGACCGGACTTTACTAAACGACTTTCTTTTCCCTGTTTTACCATCTATGTACAAATGTATTTTGGCATTAAAGTTAAAATAAATAAATAATCTTTTTCCAGTTCCACTGCTGCGGTTTAACCTCAGACGGGTACATGGACTGGTCCAAGAACGAGTACTTCAACTGCTCCTCGCCGTCGGTGGAGCGCTGCGGCGTGCCCTTCTCCTGCTGCATCAACGCTACTGACATATCCTCGGGGCTGGTCAACATCATGTGCGGGTATGGCGTGCAGAACTACCCTGTGAGTATGCCTTGGGATATTGATAGTGTTTGTGTATCCTACTAATATTATAAATGCGAAAGTAACTCTGTCTGTCTGTCACGCTTTCACACTTAAATCACTGAACCGATTTTGATGAAATTTGGCATAGAGATAGTTTGAGTCCCGGGAAAGGACATAAGATAGTTTTTATCCCGATTTTTGAAACAAGGACGCGCGCGATTAAGTTTTTCTGTGACAGACAAAATTCCACGCGGGCGAAGCCGCGGGCGGAAAGCTAGTTTTAAATAAATAATAAAAATGTTTATTGCTATTAAATCAATGTACAGAGTATTCTTATTAGGCTTCTGCACTAAGCATAGCTTGTGTATCAGTAGTCTTTTCGTTTTTACAAGGAGGTCTTTACTTTGGATTGCTTAAAATTATTGTCTGAAAAGTATCTACCAATCTTTTATAGATAGATGAGACCTAGAAGAAGCCTTTTATAGCCAAAAATAATTTTCAATTTAGAATAAGCAACCAATATTTCTCTGCTATAAGATTTTTTTCTCAGATGAAAACGCAAAGTCTGAATAAAAATCTAGTTTCTGACAAGCTCCAACAAACACAGCGCTGGTAGTGAAAAAGGGCATTTGACGATTTGTAAGAACTAAAAAACATAAAAACTCATTTATTTTGCAAATAGGCTTTTAAAGAGCACTTTTACCTCATTATTTATTTATTAAACTTTAATGCCAAATAAGGCGAACTCAATGCACTAAAACTAAAGCATTCTCGATTCATTCGTCGTCTATACAAATAAAGATAATTTTGATTTGAAACAACTTCAGGTTTTGTTCAGGCACGCGTGATAACCGCGCGGTTTCTGTGTGATTTTCATTGCAAAACACTGAACAGTAACCGTGCGATTATCGCTGTCTCAACCAAGTCTTAAAACTTACTAAACAAATTACTATCTGCATCTCCAGGTGGCCGAAGCCAGCAAACGCATATGGACGAGCGGCTGCATCGAGATAGTCCGATCGTGGTCGGAACGCAACCTTTACACAATCGCGTCGGTAGCACTCGGCGTGGCGCTCTCGCAGCTATTCGTCATCTACCTCGCCAAGACACTCGAGGGGCAGATAGAGCTGCAGAAAGCCAGGTGAGCGAGCGAGACAGAGGGCTTAGTTTGAGTTTATATAACAGATCACAGAAACTAAAGGGAGATGTGACCGTTTGTTAGTCGTATACCTCGAAATCAAAAAATCCTTGTAGCTTTTCACCTATTTGCATTTCTCCGCGATATCAAAATTTCTGAATCATCATCATCATCATCATCATCATCAGCCACAGGACGTCCACTGCTGAACATAGGCCTCCCCCAATGACTTCCACATCGCACGGTTGGTAGCGGCCTGCATCCAGCGCCTTCCTGCTACCTTTATCAGGTCGTCGGTCCACCTTGTGGGTGGACGTCCCACGCTGCGTTTTCCGGTACGTGGCCTCCACTCCAGAACCTTGCTGCCCCATCGGCCATCAGTTCTGCGTACTATGTGCCCTGCCCACTGCCACTTCAGCTTGCTGATCCGTCGGGCTATGTCAGCGTCAAAATTTCTGAATAGATTTTTATTTTTGTAGTATAATTTTTGATAGCTAATTACAATTGTCTAAAAAATTCATAGTAGATTTACTTTCCTGCCTGTCTTCACTGTAGTCGCTTTTCACCTTGATAGATATTTGTTTGTAATGCGTTATTACATATCACGATATTTCCTTTAAGCACTATACCTCTATAGTTTTGTTTTGTAAATGCATAAAATACTTGCTGCTAACTAAATAGGCTATTAACAATTCATGCTACATCGAAATTTGCTACTGTTGTAAAAATCTATTCAAAATATATTATTATGCGGCTTAATAAATAGGCTATTGATAATACATGCTACATAAAAATTTGCTACTGTTGTAAAAATCTGTTAAAAATATATGCTAGTAACAAAATATACTACCGATATTACACGCTACAACAAAAAACGCTATCACGGTGAAATGCGAATAGGTGAGAAGCTACAAGGATTTTTTGATTTCGAGGTATACGACTAACAAACGGATGTGACAAGGGGGCGGGGCCGGTGTCGCAGCTAATATGCCCAAAAACAGAACACATTGTTCGTGAAAGCAATGATGACAGCAGCGACGTCATAATGTAAACAGCTTACATTGCTTGCGTAGTACCACAGAATAATAATAAGTACTTCGTACAGAAGATTTTCTTCGCGAAGGTATTTAAAAAAAATTATGCTCAATGTCGTTAACAATATGGTGTAATTTAGCTTGTCAAGAGGCGAGCACCATTTTGTTGACAAACGTCAGTGATCGGTACTGCGCCGAAGACATAGGGCTGACTTCGGTAAAATGATGTGTGACGTGAGGTGCCAAACTGCGAAAAATGGCGGAGGAAATACATGAATAAGCATGAATTATATTTTGTGTTTCTAATATTATTCAGGCAGTTAAAAAATACTGCACAGTATTAATTGCACCACCGTTTTTACAAATGGTTTAATGTCTTTACAATGCAAATGGGTGAAGAATACGTGCGTGCGTCAATACTCGCTCGTGATTGTCCTGTCGATTTGGTATCTCAGGAGGGGTAGTCGCGCGTGTTTTGTTTTCGATGCAAACTCGCGGAGATGAACAGGCCTGGTAGTACCTACTAAAGATTATTCGAACGAATGAGCACATATTTGATTTCTTTGTGTGTGTGAATTTCTGATGCGACACTGAGTTTCGAACTCAGCGCATTAGTTGGCTTCTCTCTATATCTCTATGGTTTACATCAAACGTCGTCACAAGCGAGCGAGTGAAAAAATATATAAAGATTTCAGTTCTTGAAAGTTTTCCGGAACCGGAAAACGCAGTGTGAGACGTCCGCCCACAAGGTGGACCGACGACCTGATAAAGGTAGCAGGAAGGCCCTGGATGCAGGCCGCTACCGACCGTGCGATGTGGAAGTCATTGGGGGAGGCCTATGTTCAGCAGTGGACGTCCTGTGGCTGATATGGTGATGATGATGACCTCGCCAAGACCTGGGAGGGGCAGATAGAGCTGCCGAAAGCCAAGTGAGCGAGCTAGCGAGGAAGACAGGTGGGCGAGCTAGCGAGGAAGCTGCAGACAGCTGAGCTAGCGAGGGAGTGGCAGGCAAGGGAGTGAGCTAGCGAGTGAGCTGCAGACAGGTGAGCTAGCGAGCGGCAGGCAGGCAAGCTAGCTAGTGGCGTATAGGCGAGCTAACTAGTGGCATATAGGCGAGCTAGCTAGTGGCATACAGGCGAGCTAGCTAGCGGCGTATAGGCGAGCTAACTAGTGGCATATAGGCGAGCTAGCTAGTGGCATACAGGCGAGCTAGCTAGCGGCGTATAGGCGAGCTAGCTAGTGGCATACAGGCGAGCTAGCTAGCGGCGTATAGGCGAGCTAGCTAGTGGCGTATAGGCGAGCTAACTAGTGGCGTATAGGCGAGCTAGCTAGTGGCATACAGGCGAGCTAGCTAGCGGCGTATAGGCGAGCTAGCTAGTGGCGTATAGGCGAGCTAGCTAGTGGCGTATAGGCGAGCTAGCTAGTGGCGTATAGGCGAGCTAGCTAGTGGCGTATAGGCGAGCTAGTTAGCGAGCCGCAGGCAGGCGAGCGAGGTAGCAAGTGACAGACTGGAAACGGGACTATTCCCACCTCTCGTTCCCACTGCTGCAACTCCTGTGTAGCCAGGATCTACAGTTTGACCGCCATAAAAAACCCGACCAATGAAGGTCGAGTTTGACATACCGGAAAGTGAAGCGGCAGGCAGGTGACCGATCTAGCGAGTGAATGGCAGACAGGTATGTGAGATCGCCAGTTTACAGCCGCAAATATGAGATTATGGAAACAATGTTCTATAATTTTGAACTCTGTTGCCTTGTCTTAAGTCTACTATCCCCATTTCAGATGGCAGACATGAAACAGGGGGTGCGCGGGCGCGTACCGCGACGACTGCCGGCGCGCGCTGCTCTAGCACGCGCCCGCGCGAGACCTCGCCGAACACATGTGAAGCGGCAGTGATACGGACCGCTGTTAGTGATACGTTGTAGTGATACGGACCGCTGCAGTGATACGGACCGCTTTAGTGATACGTTGTAGTGATACAGACCGCTGCAGTGATACGTTGTAGTGATACAGACCGCTGCAGTGATACGTTGTAGTGATACGGACCGTTGCAGTCATACAGATTGAGTTAGTGATACGGGTCGATGCAGTGATACAGACTGCTGTAGTGATATGGATCGCTGTAGTGATACGGACCGCTGCAGTGATACGGACCGCTGCAGTGATACGGATTGCTGTAGTGCTACGGACCGCTTTAGTGATACGGACCGCTGCAGTGAATACGGACCGCTGCAGTGATAAGGACTGCTGCAGTGACACGAATTGCTGTAGTGCTACAGACCGCTGCAGTGATACGGACCGCTGTAGTTATACGGACCGCTGCAGTGATACGGACCGCTATAGTGATACGGACTGCTGCAGTGACACGGACTACTTTAGTGATACGTGTAAACTAAGTGTAATATTGGCGAGGGACCTGCAAAACAAGTGTGACGAATTTTGACGAATTGTCCTTGTTAGTGCAACTTAGTGCAAGATTGTGAAGTATACGACATCACAAATGCCACTGTACACATTGCATGCATGTGTTTTTAAATATGTGCAAGTCCAAGACTGTGTAGCGAAGTGCACATTAAGTATATTTGTAAATTGCAGTGATTTACAAATCACTAAGGCCCAGAACACACGGTGAAACGCAACTGCAACGAAACTGCAACTTCTAGTTACTTTTGAGTTGCATCTAAGTTTCTGCCATAGCGTCCGTTGAGAGACCACACATGACGCGACCAGTTTAAAACTTTCAGTTTCAGTTTCATTCATTAGAATCATCAGAAAGTTGCAGTTGCGTTTCACCGTCTGTTCTGGGCCTAAGCATTACATGTCTCCCAATGTGTTAGAAGAACTGTACAATGAAGTATGATTAATAGCTCATGCTGCAGCTATTAAGAAGTTATATTGTAATATGGACATAATCTTGTTTGCCATAATATGAAGATAGTAACTTTATATCTAACGTAAGTTTGTGATCATCTCTCAATAAAAAGACAGTAACAAAGTATGAAGTTAGATACCCATAAATGATCCAATCTATATTGGATCATTGCTCAGTATGAATTACTAGTAATTGAGGCATCTTTTTAATGAAGGCAGTTATTTGAATTTAGGATCTAAGACACAACCAGTAATTCTGAAGTAACTTATACTAAATTATCATTTTAACAATCAATTCAATGTATTAAAATGTATATTAAATGTTTGTAATATCGATGTTTGTACTTCTGTTGTTATCTTATTCTAATAAGATAGATTTTTCAAACAATATTTGATATTTTTCCAATAGTAAAATCTGAGTTAATATTGCATTTATAGTTAGAATCTCTATATTTACTGAATAATTCAAATTGAAACATAACATTGATGCAAAAGGGTAACTTTTTAAATAACTTTAGAACATCTAACATCATTCCACATCTCATACTTAAATACATAATAAGATATACATTTGTATGTAGTATTAAACATCTCTCAATATGTATACATTTTGTTAGAAGCCAATGTTATATCAACACAGTATTTTTAATGTATGCAGGTGATTATGTATTCATATAAATAACTTAAATGCACAACTCTTTACTTAAATTGTCGCAGTATATTATTATGATTGAGTATAATAATTTATTATGTAAGACAAATATTGTATAAAAGCTATATTTATGCTCATGTAATCGTGTAATTTTGGATGGTAAACTGTACATATTTATGATAGAATATGTGGGCTTATGTAGTCAATATCAACTGCAATCACATTTTGGAGAGATACAAAGACATTTATAGATCCAGGCAGCATTTTATGTTTGAAGCTTTAGTCGATGGTGGCAAGCAGCTTATGCCATACTCTATGGTTTTTTGGTTAGAAGTAATCTATGGTCAGATGACAGTTGGTATTTACTGTTTGAGCTCACATAATAGTTTAAATAATCCATTAAATATAATGTTCAAATTGATAATACGAATGTTAGTGGTATAAAATAATAGTATTTTTGAGAAATTTAATTAATAGGCCACTATATTTAACTGATTTAAATCATGTAGGAAATTTACGTGTAAAAAATAATTTAAAATTGTTAACTCGACTAAATTTTAAGTTTTATTATTAGAATGTGAAGTCAATTTGTGATAAAAATTCTTTGCTTTAAAACTATTGGTCCAAATTAATATTTGCTCACTTTTACCTTAAACCATTGTGTTGACTAAAAATTAAAATAATTTAATTTATTTGGAATCTTTTTGACTATTATTATTTGATATGCTTTAAAAAAATGCTTATAATCTTTCAAGTAGGTATTGCATAAAAGTAACAACTTTAATTCCCAAGCGCCATAATATTGTTTATTTATATCGTAGCATAATTAATTCGCTTCAATATTAATTAATAATTATGATGTGCAATATTTTAATGTTTTAGCATGTAAGTTGAATGTTGCGAACATTTAAGATTCTTTTCGTAGACCAAGATGAACTACAAATACTTTTTTCAGCTATTTTATGTTATTGACATTCCAAATTGACTGATAGCAGCAGCTTTTTTGGTATTTTTAATGAATATTAAGGCGCTCATTGACCACAAGCACTCACGTGTAACGTTTATTGGTCGCGTAGTGAGAGTTGAGCTGAAAACATACTCATATAGAAGAACTACACTGAACTGTCCTTTATTTGACACTGACAGGGGGGCCACCGTCAATAGCGGATCGCTGGTTCCGACTTTTGCCACGGTGGAGACCATGTAGTTGAACATGGCGCCCTTCTGTCAATGTCGTCGGTGGGACATTTCAGTGTAGTTCATCTTTAAAATGTAATACTTGAATACAGAACAACACATTACACATTCAAGTTCAAACATCGAAAACACTAGCAACTTCGCTCCTGCTAAATGCATGTAAGCGAGACAGAAAGCACTTGTCAGTCAGACTACGCAAGATGTCAGATAAAAATATTTGTGTTGATCGCCTTATCTCTCGCTGCGCGAAATATAAGAGTGAAGACTAAATTAAAAAAAAAAATGGCGCCCAAAGAACTGAATTGGCAACTTTATTTTCTATTTAATTTCAGAGCAGTTATTTTAAAACTTATTTATTGACATATTGCTCTCATAAATGTCAAGCCATATTGATTCATTGAGGCATTATTATTTGCATTTTTATTTAAGTTATTTTCTTCTTATATTCAGTCATTTCTGCTCAATATTTTAACCAAATATACATTTATACAAGATATTATTATAAGTTTTTCAGCTATTACACGTTAGAATGTAAATATCCATATTAGTGTAAGGTTTATTGTATTGTAAGTGTATGAATGCCATGTATTCAATTTAGTTTTATTTTTAGTTTACATCGACATTATTATTTAGAAGACGTCAAAATGGATGCAAAGCAAAAGTCTTTCATTATTTTATAGATATATCCGTCTCTTTTTATTGTATTATTCCAACGGGAGTGAGTGAGATAGCTAATCGTTAGCCTCTTTCTCCAGATTCATCTTGAAAACATTTTGCTAAATACAAGTCGTTTAATTAGTCTTGTTTATGAAACTATTAATTGCAATTATCTTGACTGAACAATTTTAAACAACTTGTTGTTAAATTACAATTTAAATGCATTTTTGTATGTTTGTGATCAAAGAATATGGCCAAAATAGTGACATATTATTATTATCTAATAGATAACATATAACTGCCATATTTATATATATTTGGTAATATTTCTCGAATGAATGATTTAGTTAATTTGTTTGTTAATATTTGTGTTAAAACAAAAGTAGTAAAATTGCCACATACAAAATTAGTGAAATTGTTGTTTGGAATTTTTTCAAAAACATTATTGTTACGATTTTATTCAAAATAAAAATACTTATACGTGTATAAACATAGTAAATAGGTTAAACTCAGATGTATGTCTTTCTATGAGTGTAAAAAACCATGGGAATTGTAAGGCGTGTGTTCTGGACTCCCGTTTCGTTTTGTTTTATTGGGTAAAAATGATAGAAAAAACGAGCCAAGAAATATACATTTGGACAATATTTTAAAATTAAACAGTTGGCAACACTGAAACTTTATGCCCCGCTAGTGTCTTTTTTATTTGAAATTTTATGCCCCTAATGAAACGAAAAAAACAATATGTTATGGGACACACGCCTTGCAACGTTAATAGGTTGGTAGCCAATCTATTTACTCTAAAATGTTGCCAATATTAAAATGGCTTGTGTAGTATGTTGCAAAAATATGTATCTAAATACTATTAGTTCGCTTTAAGTTTGCCCCTGGCGATATGACGTCACTCGAAGAAAAACGTCTATAACTTTATCAAACTATATTTAAAATATTTTTTATTTATTATTATTGATAAAAATTATGTATTTGCGTAAAATAAGACACATTAATTGCGTTTAATCACTAACTAATTGCGTTTAATCGCGGTTGGGGGAGGGGACGCGCATTCCACGGACCGGCAAACTTAGCGCGAACGGGTAGTATTAGGAGAAATGGTGCCGTAATTTTGCACTGTACTGCACTGGATGGGATAATGTATGTAACGAGAGAAAGATATTCTTGTACGTTGATTAGTTGACGACTACGTTTTGATTCCGAGATAGATAATAAAAGGAATTGTAACCAAATATTTTGATGTTTTATTACGTAATAAGTTGTTAGAATAATCTTAGAGCAACAATAAGTAGGCTATAGTCTGGTCTGCGAGCACGTAGAATTTTGTCCAATGACCCCAAGATACCCATCCTTATCGCTCGCGCGTAATTATATTGCTGTCGCGCTCGCACACTCACTGCGGGCGCCCGTCGCACAGTCGCGACAGCGATAAGGATGGGTAGCTTGGGGTCGTTGGACAAAATTCTACGTGCTCACAGACCGGGCTTTAGCAGTGTCAGTGCGTAGTGCCAATCCGAGGGTAGTTCGAATTCCGACAGCCGCTAGACGTACTATGCGCGCGCGGGTGACTTGGTCACCGTGATAGTATAATCTTTCTCTTTTACACTTTTATAAAGAGAAAAGAGACAACGTTACACTTATTCTTATCTACAGAGAGACATACCTACTGTCACGGGGACGGCAAAAATCACCCATTGCGCGCAGTTAACGGGACTTGATCGCGAGGAGTTAACGGGACTTAATCGCGAAGATTAACGGAAATTAATCGCGAGGAGTTAACGGGACGGAGTTAACGGGACTTGATCGCGAGGAGTTAACGGTACTTGATCGCTACGAGTTGACGGGACTTAATCACGAGGAGTTAACGGGACTTGATCACTACGAGTTGACGGGACTTAGGAGTTAACGGGACTTGATCGCGAGGAGTTAACGGGACTTAATCGCGAGGAGTTAATGGGACTTGATCGCGAGGAGTTAACGGGACTTGATCGCTACGAGTTGACGGGACTTAATCACATGGAGTTAACGGGACTTGATCGCTACGAGTTGACGGGACTTAGGAGTTAACGGGACTTACTCTCTAGGATTTAACGGGACTTAATCGCGAGGAGTTAACGGGACTTAATCGCGAGGAGTTAATGGGACTTAATCGCGAGGACATAACGGGACTCGCGAGAAGTTAACGGGACTTAATCGCGAGGAGTTAATGGGACTTAATCGAGAGGAGTTAAAGGGACTTAAAAATCACTTCTTCTTCCCTTTCCCCTTCCCCTTGGGCTCTGGCTCGGGCTCCGGCTCTGGCTCGGGCGGCGGCGGCGGCCAGTACTTGTCGAAGAACTCGTCAGTCGCCGCGAAGTTCAGCGGCAGGATGTGACTGCGGCGGTTCCAGTCTTCTCTGTCTCTTTCCTCTTGTTCCTCTTGCTCACGCTCGTCTCTGGCTATGAGCTGGAATGGCAAAAAGTACCTAAGTAAGTTCTGGGTTCTCCTAGTCTAGCGCGTCATGCTCGCTGAGTCGGTTGGTGCTATTATTAACCAAATAAATTATTTTTTCCTTTATAGTTAACGTAGCTTGTTGCACATGAATCATGTGTGGGCTAAAGCCGTGTGATTTTTACACAGTGGGATAGTACCGCGCCCAGTCTTTCCGTGGATGTTGTAAGAGGCGACTTAAGGGAGAAACAAACAAAATTGACTCCCGTACACATCTGGCCAGTGTGGTAGAGTGCAGGGATGTTATGGATATCCGTAACCGTAACCGAAAATTTCGGACATCCGATATAAAAAAATATCCGAATCCGTAACCGTAACCGAAACTTTCGGATATCCGATATAAAAAAATATCCGTAACCGTAACCGAAACCGTTATAATATTATTCCTATATCCGTAACCGTATCCATAACCGAAACTACATATCCATAACATCCCTAGGAGTGTAGGCCTAATCCACAATTTATCTCTGGTAAATAAGAGAGGGTCATCCTCCTGCGATGGAGTCACGTCACTATTGCCTATACCTAAAAAGCTTTTCAATTATATTTCTAAAGATTATGCAGGCCTTTTGTACACATAATACCTACGTCTCAAAAGTAGCTTACCCAACCACCGCTTCTGGTGCTACAAAAATAATTAGTAAGATTAAAAAAGTTTCCAATGTCAAAATTTACCTCTAGCAAAGCCAAATACTCCTCCGTATCGACCTCCTTCTTCTTCCCCTTACCAGCTGGCTTAGCATCCTTCTTTGGAGACTTTTCCTTCTTAGGTTTAATCTTCAGAGGCGCGTACAAACGCTTAGGGTTCTGGATCGGGAAGGGGGCGTCTATCAGGACATACTCCGGGGGAAACGTGAAGATGGAACGGACCAGGTTGTATTGGTAATCTGTGCTGAAGCTGGAATAGGTAGAATTTAGGTTACTAGCGCTAGGATGGGTTGTATCTAATCTGTCGCGGAAGTCTAAGGCTATGGCTGGTTACCCGCGACACTCCCACTCGGGCGATGACGGAACGCCGCTGAGGTTTTTGTGGGTATACCCCGTCCTTTTCAGGACGGAGCAGCGCCCTTTTAAGGGCACCGGGAGTCCCACACACCACCCTATCCCCCGGTAGTGGTGACGGTGAGCATTTCCTCCGCGACAAAAAAAGGGTTTTATCTAATCCAGGGCCTTCCTGCTACAGTCTACGTCAAATAGTTCGTGACACCCAATAGTACCTTAACCTAGCCAAAAAGTTCGCAACACGTTCACACGTTCTTTGTTACAATTGGAATTATTATTATTATTGGTTTTTGGGCCTTCATTTGCGCCAGCTCGACCAGGTTTGATTTTTTTTTTTCCATTTATTTGGGACAAAAAAACAGTCTTACAATGGGTCTTAGTCTAGAATTGCACTTATCTATCTAAACTATTGTATGACCAACAGCAATGTCCACATATTACATTATAAATATTTTATTGAGAGCTTAGGTTTAGGGTAATTAAGTTTATACATCATTTCTTAAAAGTTATAAAGTAAGCAACCAAGTAGGTATACAATTCAAACAATACCGCGCACAAAGCGCAGCAGCCAGTCATCAGTGTAATTTAAAAACAAAACAAAAAATGAAAAACAAAAACCATAAGAATAAAATTAAGCTCAGCAATTAAACAGACCGTGCCATAAGGGTCCGCTCAACTGCTAAGCTGTAACAGGATTTCCTTCTTGAATTTACTAAGTTTGACGTTAAATAAGTCGATAAGGTTAAATTTACTATTATAGATCATGAACAATCTGTTAAAAGGGTGATCGTTTGCCAGCATCGGTGCGATATTTCTTGATTGCAAACGTCTCAGTTGGCCGACAAGAACGAACAGAGGCTTTTCTTGGTACTGAGAAGCTCAGTTTATTCATTAGTTCACAGCTGTCATACTTATTATGACATAAGTCATATAATACAACCATATCCAGCATTATTCGTCTATCTATTAGTTTTATTAATTTATATTTTTGTAACAATTGGTCATATTTTGGATAATCATGATAACACCTGTAATTAACACATCGCAAGAATTTCTTTTGTACATTTTCAATTGCATTACAATATTTCAGATACACAGGGCTCCAAATTGGTACAGCATATTCTAATTGACTTCTAATGAGAGATTTATATAAATGTAAAAAGGTTCTAGGAGATTTAAAATGTTCACTGGCACGGACCACAAAACCAAACATTTTAAAAGCTTTGTTTATAATACCGTCTATATGTCTNTAATTTTTTGATTTTGATTTTTAAAGGAAAGGTTTTTACCCCAAAAATGTGTCTTTACAAGGATCCAGAGTCACTTCTTCAAAAAATAGGTAGTTACGTACGCTATAGCCATTTTTTATGACTATAAAACTGTTAAGTTGGGATTAATCGCTATCCATCTGTTAAAGAGGACACGTGAGATCTTTATTTGGTTTTATAACCATAAAAATGGGTCTAATTGATCCCACAGGTGAGCCCAA